AATATTTCTTAAATATTGTATTTATTCTTAAAATAAATATTCTTAAATTTCTTAAAATTTGGAGTTTACATTGTAACACAGAATTTATAAGAAAAAGGCTTGAGCGTGATGCGTGTTATTGACTAGATCTCCCACAGTGTCTGGTTCACTATTGTTTTGTTTGCCAAATGGAGTGCTTACTATTGGTCTCTTATATCCCATAGACTTTGCTAATGGTCAGCTGAGATCATTAATATAAAGAAGCTCGTGCAGCAAAGCAGTAGGCTAATATTAATTATTCATATTAGTGTAAAGTGAGGTTGTCAAAATGTTTATTATGAGTAATCATTTAAAAAGACAAATCAGAATGAAGAAATGTTGGCACAATAATTTGAAGGTTAGAAGCTAAAAAATAATTAAAAATCTCAATCTTAATATGAATATAAGAAAACTTTAGTGGTGTACTTGAAACAGTATTAAGAATTTGGTTTATGGTAAATGTTGAGTATGTCAACATGTAGTAGGTTACTAAAGTTTCTTATTATCTTAAAGTTTCTTATAGTATTATCTTAAAGAAGCTTTCCTATTTTATTCAGAATGTGCACTTTTTAACAAACTACTCCTTGTGACTATTTGAAATGTAAATTTTAATAATTGAAGTGCACATCCTGAAATGTGGAGGGAAAGTACATGAGTAATGTGCAAAGTAAATTAAATATTTATTCCAGTGAAATTATTCAGAAAGGGCTGCTTAGATTTTTAATACTGTGAAAAATGTTAAAAGCAAGATTTTATATTGACACAAACAATTTTAATGAGGAAACATACTTCATGTTGTCTCGAGAGGGAAAATATTAAAATTACTTTAAGATTTGCATTTATCACTTTTCTTTTACTTAAAGCATCTTGTGTCAATTTTAGCGGAAACAGCAATCTTCTTTCTAGATTAATCTACTTTATCTGTTTCAAATAACATTGACACAATTATGAGGAAGCATGTATTTCCATTAATAAAACAGATTTACAGCATGTTTTTTTAACAAATTCTAAATAAGAGAACATAGCTTCGATTAGTGTCTCTTTGAGAGGAGCTGAAACTTTAAAGTACACTGGAGGGCGATTGATTGCATTTATTTCCCATAAAACTCTTTTCAGCCAAGACTATTTTCCTTTAAAATTAAAATTAAAAAGAAAATTAAGAAAAGGCCTTTTTAAAAATGTGGTCCCTTTTTAAATGCCACAAGTAAAGTTATTCAAAAATACAAGTTGGCCAACCTTCTCTGTAAAGTGCCAGAGAAAAATATTTACACTATATGGGCCACTTGGTTTCTGTTACAGCTACCTACCTCTGCTATTACAGTGTAAATGTAACTGTAGATGATATGTACACGGATGGGAAAGGCTGTGTTCAAATCACCAGTGCTGTGATCCTCGTCTGCCAACTCCTTTTCTAAAAAGTCAGTACTCTGTATTATATTTGACTGGATGGCCGGAGACTTTTTCAGAACACTTTCAGTACATATTTCAAACATTTCAGCTGAAATGAAGTTCACATTAGAAATAACAAATAAGCTGATGAAGATCATGCTCCTACTAAATTATAGGGTATTTCTGTGCTTTGAAGAAGTGAGTGGCTGTGCTTTAGATCTAAACTCCTCTTTGGAGAAAGAAACCCGCTCTAGTGTTGGAATATGAACAACCATTTTGTCATTAGAGTAGTTCCATGTAATTGAAAGATAAAGGTCCCTGCATTTAACTTCAGGTTACAGTATGAATCTAATATTCTTAGCTTGTTTTTCCCATCTATGAAATAGAGCTCTTTGCTGTGAATACTATATTATTAATATATAATGCTTGAAGTTCCAGACAATGGCAGGTGCTCAGGTAACATTAAATCGTCCTCCATCTTTGGGCACCTGTTGGGATGAGCACCGGGTGTTGTACGGAAACCAATTTGACAATAAATTTAATATTTAAAATAAAATAAAATAAAATAAAATTTAAATAACGGAAAAGAAGCTTTAAAAAAAAATCCTCCTCCATCTTCTTCAGCATTTTATGGAAACAGCATTGGACCTGAAGGAAGACTCATAAAAAAAAACCTTCAAAAAAATAAAAAAGTACTGGACCATGGTGGCAGAGAACAGAGGACTGCAAGATGCAGCAGGAAATACCCGCTTTGCTGATTTTCTGGATTTTAATTTTCCTGCACTATTTCCTCAAATAACATAAGACATTTTCATAACATGGGATATTTGGAAAGGCCTGGGTATCAATCCATGCAATATATATTGCTCTCACTGACTCACCTGGGGAAGCATATCAGGCAGTTCATATTAGGGTGAAGTCACAAGTTGTTTAGAAGAATCCAGAAATTCATAGCCTTTGCAGTGAAAAGCATGCATAAATACGAGCTCTCCTTATCTACTTTTTTAAAGTTCAATTCATTTTCAGAACTCTCTATCAAAGGGAAACCCTTACATTTAATTTCCTAATTGGAAAAATATGAAACATTGATCAGAAATTAATTTCATTGCTAAAGTCATGATTATATACTATAAAACAATAAAGGGATGTATCTGTATGAAAACTATTTTTATAAAACACATTTTAAGAGAAAGTAACTTTTTTTTTATTACAAGTTACTGACTTTTTTTTTGCGCTTAGGATCATGAAAGCACACAATACTTTGAAAAGTTGAGATAACTTTGCCTTACATTCACAAAATGCTCCCCAAAATGATAAAGCAGAGACAAACAACAGGAGCCATTACAACCACAAGCCATAAAACTTTTATTATATGGAGTGACTGCATACACTTAATGGATTCAAATAGCTGTTATTACAGGAACTTACTGAAATCCAAACTATTTCCATTTATGTCAGCCATGTCTGTAAATCTGTTAATTAGTCCTTTCTGCTTAATTGCATTATAATTATCACAGGCTTATCTTAACTATTCACATTCAAACTATTCATGGTCCAGGTACATGTCATTGTCCAACAATAAAAATGTATTTATTCATTTTGAGACAAACATTTCAGAAATTGAGAATACAAATCAACTTCCTGGGGGCACCTGGGTGGCTCAGTCGGTTAAGCGGCCGACTTTGGCTCAGGTCATGATCTCGTGGTCCGTGAGTTCGAGCCCCGCGTCGGGCTCTGTGCTGACAGCTCAGAGCCTGGAGCCTGTTTCAGATTCTGTGTCTCCCTCTCTCTGACCCTCCCCCGTTCATGCTCTGTCTCTCTCTGTCTCAAAAATAAATAAACTTTTAAAAAAAAATTAAAAAAAAAATCAACTTCCTGGATTTGTCTGGTCCTACAGCAGCCTAGTTCTATTCCCCGTTTTCCTCCATTCTTTGTCCGAATACATTTTTTTTTCCTCAGAAAGAAGAGAAAATTATCTGAAGAGAAATCCCTTTTAATGAGAAACAGATTTAAATAATAACAATAATAATAAATCTTAGTAGACCTTCTTTGTGATATGTACTTCAGGGGATTATTCTTGTTCTTCATCCCTAATATGGTAAAAACATAGATCAATAGAAAAAAATGACATTTGATTAAAATGTTTAAAGTAACAGCAAACAAGATTGTAATGCATCCTTGTAGTGTCTTAGTATCTATTTACATATCCGTACTCTTCAATACAGGACCCCTGCTCCCCTCACAAACACACGGTGTCACTCTGTTAATGTTGCCTGTTAATTACAGCTTCATGTCTCCATTTGTCCTTTCTTACTTAGGGGCTATCTTCCCCCTCCTCCCCTGAATGTCTATCCCCGCAGTAGTAACCTTCATCCTCCCTCACCTCATGTTTTATAGCTGCTTTAGAACTGGCTTTGGCTTTTCCTACTCCAAACATCAGACCCTGGTAAGATGAAACTTCTGCAGTATTAATACTGTCTCTTGTACTTAGGTATCTTTGTGAACTCTCCATGAATTTAGAATGTCATGCAGCCTCCTGAGATTTGTATTCTTGCCCCTTTACCATAGGGCCCGACCTAGCTTTGTAGCCTCATCTTTAATTGTCTACGTATGCATCTTAACTTTCAATGAAAATGGAAGTTTTAATTGAGTTGGTTACTCAACTGGAGAGTGTGATCTCTAGTTACCCATACCTACTGACATAGTGAATTCGCAACTCCCATCTCTAGAAAGTTTCCCAGTTACCCTCCCTCCCTTAAATTATGTAACTAATCCTCTCATATATGTTTCTTGGTAGTTCATCTTTATACCTTCCCCATTGTATCTAAATCAGGACCTTGACAATAGAAAGTGCTGCATAAACATTTTGAATTGTTATGTCACTTCTAAAATGCAAACACAAAAGAGGCACAACTGACCTTGTATTTACTAGAACCATGTCAATTGTGTCTGAAAACTCCATCTGGAATGCTTTTGACGGTGATTTGGTAATGGTTTCTGTGACTTTACAGTGGCTTGTCAAGGGCTCCATAACAGTCAACAATATTGACTTGGAATACAATTTCACATTTTACAATTATGGGCCCCTTGATGTAAGAGTACTATCAATCATTCTTCTTCTTCTTCTTCTTTTTAATGTTTATTTATTTTTGAGAGAGAGGCAGAGTGCAAGCAGGGAAGGGGCAGAGAGAGAGGAAGACACAAAATCCGAAGCAGGCTCTAGGCTGTCAGATCAGAGCCCAGTGCGGGTCTCAAAACTCAGGAATTGTGAAATCATGACCTGAGCTGAAGTCTGACGCTTAACTGAGCCACCCAGGAGCCCCCGAAAATTGTTTTTCAAGATGGTCAAACTTCCTGGAGGAAGAGACCGTCAGGAATTAGACTGCATTCGCTTTGAAAATAAGTTCGTCCCGAATTCTTGTAAAAAGAGACTAGCTGCATCTTCCTCTTTTTATTCTCATTTTTAGAAATAACAAGATTTGTACACCTTTCTGATCTACATATTTAAATCAAACTGCTCAAAATGCCACTTGCTTTGAAAGCAAAGTGCTTGTTTCCATGATATATACAACGAATGTATATAGTAAAGCATCTTTCATATTTTCATCAATTTTATTTCCGCTTCTTAATATTGCCAACATTTGAAGCCAAGTTCATGGAACACCAATGAGAACATCCAAGCTATTTATATTAAGCATTTTAAAGTATTTTAAAATACAGTCATGCTCAGATAGAGTTGAGGAATCCCAGAATTAAAATTGCCTTCATGAAAATGAACAGGTTATAGCTTAATACACGGAAATAGCCATAGTACATTTTAGTGAAGTGTTTTATTCTCCATGGATAGTTCATTTTTCATTTATCCATAAATGAATGTTCACATTAAGAATATCCATCAACACTCAACGTTATAAAAATGAACGCGTGAATAATTTGTACGTGAATATATACATGGCCAAAGTTTAATTTGGCTCTCCATTCAAAAAAGGTAGTGTCGGTGGATATTTTGGGCATTATCAGTCAATTCATGCTTACTTTTTTTCAGAGGTTTATAATCAAAGTAAAAAAAAAATCTGATTTAGCTAAGGAACACACAATGAAATGTATTTAGATTTAAAAAAACTATATATTCTAAAAAGATAAGTATAACCATGTCAAAGCCTCACTCATGTATTCACTAACCAGTTGGGGGAATTTCTGTGTCAAATGCACAGGTGTGAGCTTCCTCCACATTCCGTAGGCTAGGCTTTGATCACAGCACTCCTTATCCTCATACTTGTTCCTGGCAATGGAAACTATTTTTAAAGGTTATTACCAAGATCACTTTGGTGATTTCCCCCCAAATTAGATGAATGAGCATGGAGTTCTTAATAAACAACTGATATGCCAAACTATTTACAAGAACGTAATGATTAAAGCCTAAATTTAACTCTCCTCTTCATGAAAGAGGCATTTGGGAAACTATTAACCAACAGGCTTTACACTACAGTGAGGCTTTCTCTGCTTTTATCTCTAAGAAGTTAGAGGGCTCCTGCACTCATGTTCCTTAGAGATGCCTATAACAGAATTTTACTTTTAACATGATTTTTGAGCTTGCTTTCATTTTTTAAAAAAGAGAACATCATAACAATTTATAACAAAGATGTAAAACTGACAGGAGCCAAACGTAGGAGCTGGAAAAGACAATATATGACACGCACCTAAAACTATATTTCTAGAATGTTTTTAGTCCAGCAATTATTAATGATACATATTTAAGCCCATATCCTCAATATGAACTGTTACTCACTTTGTTACATAATAATTCTTTATCCACAATAAGTATATACAAGCACTATTCTTCAACGTTTTGTTAATTTAGAGAATGCAATGCTTTTGTAGAGCATAAAGAAAAAAATCAATTCTTTCTGTATTTAATTTCAGTCTTGGTAGATCCAAACATTTCAGTGTTAACTTCTTCATACTTCATAAATGCTGTGAGGCAGAGAATAAAATGATAAGTGTAACATTTTATTTTCCCCTTGTATTTAAAAGAAATGACCTTGGTGGTTTCCATCCTAGTTGGTAAATCACCAAAACTAAATGTAACTAGAGTTCTATTTAATATTGTGTCAGGAAATGGACTTGACTAAAATACAGATTAAAAACTGGTCTTATAATAAGGTAAAAACTGGCCTTTTCTTCTAATTTAATTTGTTCTTGGGAGTAAAACATCTGGATAGAAATGCCAGGAAATCATGGTTTTCACTAGCTCTATTGAAAACAGGGCATACAAATAAAAAGTAAGAGAAAAATGAAAATAACAATATTTTCCAAGCAAAAAATTACTATATAAACATTAGGCATGAGATTATGCTCCCATTACAAAAAGGGACAGATTATATTTAAATATAATATTATTAAAATAATTAAAGTAATCCATCTTTAAAATATGAATCACAGAACTTAACAAATTCAAAATCCTAATGGGATATAAGTAAAATAAATAAGATTAAAGTAAAAATATATAATAGTACTTTATATACTGAATTTTGCGACTAATCTATTTTACATACATTTAAGTAAATTAATATGAAAGCTGCTACTTTATTTACCTTTGAAGCCATAGAATGGTTCAATAGTTTTACATTTTAATAGTTTTAATTTTACATTGGTTTCCTGCATTTTAAATTTAAAACTTCCTGTTACTGAAGTGCAGTAGATTTTATCGATTTAGTTAAACTTCTTATGGTTTTTGCCTAGTGAACAGAATTTATAAATAAAGGTAGCCAACCCAATAAACCAAATTGAATAGGGCAAAAGCTGTTGGGAAAAATATTCGAGAATAGGAGTCAATTTTGGCAATGCGTATGTGTATCCTTCCTTCCCTCCATGATCCTGTTCTGCAGTCTTCAAAGCAGCAGAAGAAACTGGCACAATCTTTGCCCTCCAAACACTGGTACCCATAATCCTCTTCTCCATGTGGCAGAGAAATGCTATTCATTGGAATCAGAGTGGATCCAGGATGGAGTCCAGGGGACATCTGAGTAAAATAATAAATGAGTTTTTCAGAAAAAAAAAATCTCATAAAGAAAGATCAGTTTGGCTCCTCAAGGCAAACTCTGCAATAAAAATAATCTTAGTTTTTAGAAATCAGAGAGGTGTTCAATCCTAACGCGTTTTTAGATTTATAATTTACTTTGTAACACATAACTTAATATTATTATACATTCCAAAGACCTTTCAGGGAAAAAAATGCTCAAATGTGCAATATATTGTATACCTTTAGAAAACTGGCCCACCAAAATATTGTTAACCATGAATCTAATTCTAAAACAAAATATTTTACACTAAAACATTTATAATTCTCTAAGCGTCTGTTTGCTACTATTATATTACATAATTTATTTATTTTGGTGATAATGAGAGCAAATAGCAAAGATGGAATTTTGATAATGCAGAAAAGCTTTGAAGAACTGTGAATGAATAAAAAAAGACATGGACAGGGTTTGTAGTAGAGGATAAGTGCAAGGCATCATATTTGGAAGAGACAACATGCAGGAGTTAAAAACTCAGGTTTTTGTTTGAGAACAACTGTGTCCAAAATTTGGTACATTCTACCAATATAGCTAGCCTCATAGTTGGAATTATATCAGCACCTGATTTTTGTGATGGCTGTGATGAGTATATTACATGACTTATTTAAATGATAAGTGCTCCATCTTGCCCACTTATAGCAGCTACTTTTATCAGGATCATGTGGGACCCATATCAAATTAATTTTTTATGATACCAGGTTCTGAATAATACTTATATAATAAAAAAATTTTTAATATTTAAAAATCAAACAAGTCCAGGATACTGTGAGACATTAAAGCAATCACGTTGGAGTCAGACAGGTTTGGTCAACAATTCCATTTCTGCCCAGCAGAGTTATGTCACCTCGAACAAGACTTGTTAGTGCTCTTCCTCTGTCTCCGTGTCTTCTGCTGTACAAAAGTCACAGTAGTACACAGATCCATCTGGTGATTAAAGGAGATGATGTGCATAAAGCACAAAGCAAAATATGAAACATACAAGTATTCAGCTGCCAATAGGTAATCTTATTGCTATTGCTAGTGTTGATGCCTGTGGGAGACCTATCACAATTTGGTATAAAAGATGTGCTAACCAACAATAACAGTAACAACAACATGGACCTTATAAAAAATGTTACTGGAGGGGCACCTGGATGGCTCAGTCAGTTGAGCTTCTCACTTCGGCTCAGGTCATGATCTCCTGGTTTGTGAGTTTGAGCCCCCAATAGGCTCTGTGCTGACAGCTCAGAGCCTAGACCCTGCTTTGGATTCTGTGTCTCCCCCTCTCTCTGCCCCTCCCCTGCTCATGCTCTTTCTCTCCCTGTCTCTCAATAATAAATAATGTCAAAAAAATTTTTTTAATGTTACTGGGAAAAAATTAATGAACCCTTGAATAAAACAGCAATTAAAATATTAATGAAGATTCCAGTTTCCATAACTCTTCCTTCAGAACTTCTCCATATTTAGGGACTATCTTAAAATGTGAATCCTACAACTTGTAAGACTCATTAATTTTATTACCTAAACACTAAATATAATGCTGAGATCACAAAAATTATTTTAACCTGATCCTAAATTCTTCCTAATGAAAATGTTTACATTTTTTCATCCTGCATTTTGAAAGAGACAAATCTCAAAGCCTTGAATATTAAATATTGTATGGAAAAGATGTTAAAAATTAAACAAAAGAGAATTTAAAAAACTTTGGATCTATACTAAAATCCATTTTATTTCAACAGAAACATAGAAACCAAACTACTAAATGTTAAAATTCAGTAGATGTAAAAAGTAGCAAATAATTACATAGAGTGATATTTTAAAAAGATAAATGCATCACACAAGTCATAATATTAGAAACAAAATGTGCAGCCTAAAGATAAGGAGCAATGCCTTAAACACAAATCAATTCATGACTCCACTTGCCTGGATGTATCATAAAAAGCAGAAGCAGTATATTATTAAATGTTAACGACATATCTTTTCAGGTTGACACTTGGGGATACTTGAATAAGACTCTGAAACTTTAATGGAGCACTAAAATTATGTACAAAGTGAGGCAAATTGGTATTCATTTCTTTGTCACTTAGTACTTAAATAACATATGTTCAAGTGCTAATCAGAGTGGAAAGTGATTAAAATACAAGTTTGTTTGGGGCACCTGGGCAGTTCGGGAGTTCGAGCCCTGCGTCAGGTTCTGTTCTGACAGCTTGGAGCCTGGTGCCTGCTTTGGATTCTGTGTCTCCCTCTCTCTCTGCCTTCCCCTGTGCACGCTCTGTCTCTCAAAATAAATAAATAAATAAATAAATAAATAAATAAATAAATAAGTTAAAAAATTAAATACAACTTTGTTAATAGGCAATTTCAAGGTTATATGGCACAAAATACATTCCAAATATCCCTCAGCACTGCCATAAATAGGAAGACGGTGTGTTTGTTAGAAGATATCAGTTGTGTATGAGGGGATGATTAAACATTAAAGTGCACAAAGGTGGAGAAAAACTGCAAGTGGTTAATTTTAAAAATGGACTAATCTGTAGTGTTCAAAATCATGGAGAGCTTCTATTGCAGTGACACTTTAAATGGACAATTTTCCAGTTTCCTGCTGTCCCTCAAAACACCACAAGTCCATAAACTGAAAGAAGCTACACTTTAATGAATGATGGATGTGAACAGAAATATATTTTATATGTGCTGAGAAAAATATCCCAAGAGCTGACACAGTAGCAATAAAACAAAATATTTTGACACACAGATTGTGACCTGGAAACCACTAAAAAATTAATCAGTAGAATATGCACATTCCAATCCTCATTTATCTGAAGTGCAACTTTATTACCCATCTTATAATTTCTCAAGTAAAGGTCCTGTCCCCCCCCCCAAAATAGCAAGCATTGAAAAAATTTAAAAAATCAGGTTAAGTGTTATAAAAATAAACTACATAATCAAAGTTTTTTTTTTACTTTAAATAATATCGTTTTGAGAATATACCATTATATTGTTATTTGAAAACGTCACTAAGAATATAGCTGAACTTAACATTACAATAAATTGATCACGGTCTCATTATTAAAGATATGTATGTCTGGTTATATATTAAGGACTACACTATGTAGATATTAATAAAGGAGATAGGTATACAAAATATATTTCAAGCATCAAGACACATTAATGTCAAATAAATATTATTCAGTAGTAAATAAAACATTTATGTACAAATTATATTTATGTATGCTTATATATTATTATTTGTATCATACACTAACATCATTGATGTTATTAAATATCAATAATGTGAATATGAAATATTATTAGGTCATGTTATCAATATTATGAAACACTAATATTACTGTCCTTAATTTCCCATTTAAAATTTTACATGCGAGAATGCCAGCCTGAGCACAGGTTTTCTCAAGACACCGTACTTTTATAAAATCCATTTCAAAACCTACAAAAATCCACATCAGTGTTAACAACAGACGTGAGATGGATCTTAGTGATGCTGAGTGGCCAATCAGCATGTCAGAGTTTGTGCTGTTCCCGAAAGACAAAGAACAGGTGAAAACAAGCCAACAAGCGAAGTGGACCAAAGGAAGCCACATTTTGGAAGAGGCTCAGGAAATGGAAGCATGAGGGGAAGAGCTGTTCTTCCCATCAAAGCTTCAGAGATGCTTACTCTAAAGCAGGAAGAATGGGAATGATAAAACAGGATGGAAAACATGGCCTTTGTGAAATGCCCATCTCCGGAATAGCTACTGCGGTCTGAACCATCACTCATCCACGCATGTAGAAAGTAGAGATGTACACAGGTTGATGTCTGCTCACGTTTAGAACCTTGAAACTTCGACCATCAGATCATCTCATGCCACTCCAGGGAGGATTAGGGCTCCTGAAGTTGGTATTGGAATGTCCTAGTAAAACCCTCATCATCATTTAGAGTGTATGTGTGCATGTTTGGAAGCACTAAGATGTCGTGGTCCCCATCCCCACCCCCACGGAAGTGAAATCTGACCCTTGGAAATTCAAGAATGACATGCCAAGCTTGCAGGGCCTATTGGAGAAAAATCGCCAAGAACTTCCAAGGTGAACTTTCAAGATACTAACACTACAAAAGAAAAACATGGAGATGAACAGCTAGAATTACTGATTCTAATAATTCAGGAAACATAAGAGAATATTAACCTTTTGCATTCGTTCACTCAGAAATACTTAAAGAGATAAGTTGTATCCATTTAAGGAAAACAGGATAGAGACCAGTTAGAAAATAAAAGCTCTCGGAAATTAAGGAAAACATTGTAAATTCAGGGAAAAAAAAAATCTAAAACATTGTGAAATAAAATCTTAAGGAAGGAAGTGGCCCACAATATACAGACAAAGAATGTACCAATAACAAATAGGATAGTAAAAAATAGGATAAAAAAAAAGAGTATCTGCAACACATGGACAATTAACCTAGGAGGCCTACGTGTATCTAATAAGAATTCTATGAGGAATTTAGGAGAAAACAGAAAATAATTGAAATAAAGAATCAAGGAAATTCTCAGAAATAGAAGATAAGAATATTAAGTAATGAAATAAATGAGGTAAAAAAAAACAGAGAGTGTACTGGCCCTCAGAAATTTTAACACCATGGAAAAAGAGATGAGATGAAAATTTTCAGGTCAGAAAGAGAAAGATTTACTATCAAAATAATAATCAGATTGGCATTATAATTAGTGATAATGAATTAAAAGGTAGATATTTAAGTGTATTATTTGAAATTTGAGAAGTAGTCAACAATAGTTATTAAAAGGAAGATAAAATATTAAAGGAAAGCATAAGATGGAGATGGTGGGAAAGCTATATTTTTCTTTTATACCAAAGAGTCACAACTTTATTAAACTTGGTACCTTAAGAATCGGATATATAATGGAAATAATCATCAGAGGAAAGTAAGAGCAAAATGATAAAATGTGGTTAATTCTAAAGA